AAAAAAAAAAAAAAAAAGAATGGAAAAGCAAGTATCTGATGTATTCAATACCAATGTAAAACCAACAGATAAACAAACACACCCACACGAGAGAAAAACACAAGTATATTCAAGTAGGGGAAGAGGGAAGACGGGGAAAGAGAAAAGGTGGGAGACTGGTACATTCTCACCTAATGTACACAATTTAAGGGTATACAGCATATCCTCTGGGGGAAAGGCTCATCTACAACTTGAACTTTATGTTAGAAATACAAATGAATAATCATTTGTACCCTCACATTAATCTGAAATTTTAAAAAATGTTACATTTAGGCCAGGGGAGATGCCTCATGCCTATAATCCTAGCACTCTGGGAGGCCAAGCAGGGAGGATCACTTGATGCCAGGAGTTTGAGACCAGCTTGATCAAAAAGCAAGACATTGTCTCTTAAAAAAAGAAAAAAGAATGTCACATATAGCCTAACACCGAAGGAACAGCAGCCAACTCACTTGGTACATAAAATATATTTACCCGTCAAACATGTTTTTTCATGTGTATACATCGTCTTCCTAAATAAACAATTAATCCTTGTACACAGAAGAAGCTGAGAATGTTAGTCAGTAGAAACCACATGCAGATACCTCATCTTTACCTATGGTCAAAGAAGATAGCTTCTTTGGGGAAAAACTAAATGAAATTCTAAAGAGACAACCCTGCCAATCAGTCATTAGTTCATTCATCATTCAACATTGTCTCAGCATCTACTATAAGCCAAGCACTATGCTATAAATTAAGGATATAATGATGAAGAACTTGGCCTACGCCAAGAACATTTACTGTTTATTAGGAAAAACAGATATGCAAGTAGACAAATTTTAATAAGCAGTATATAATTAATAGAATTGTTCACTCATGTAACAGCCAAAATTTAGATAGTAACTATTATTTGCCAGGAACAGTGCAAAAATAGTCAACCCAATACTTGCCTACGTCTCCAAGAAAAGTAAAAAAACAGAGTGTGACAAGTACTATTAATATAATAGAGATAAACAGAGGATTCTATGGGAACCCCGAGGACCCAACCCAATCTTGAAATCTGGGGAAAGATTTGCAGAGTGATGTGACAACACAGCTGAGTCCTAAAGGATGATCAAGAGTAAACAGATGGACTCGGCTCCCGTGGCTCGAGCAGCTAAGGCGCTAGCCACATACACCTGAGCTGGTGGGTTCGAATCCAGCCCGGGCCCTCCAAACAACAATGACGGCAGCATCCAAAAATAGCCAGGTATTGTGGCAGGTGCCTGTAGTCCCAGCTACTTGGGAGGCAGAGGCAGGAGACTCTCCTGAGCCCAGGAGTTGGAGGTTGCTGTGAGCTGTGATGCCATGGCACTCTGCCCAGGGGGATAGCTTGAGGCTCTGTCTCAAAAAAAAAAAAAAAAAAAAAGAGTAAACAGATCAAGAATGAGATAAAGAGTGTTCCGGGTAGAACAGAATGTGAGGAGGCCCAGAGGTATAGATACCCATGGTCAGTTTGGAAGACAAGTAGGAAGTTAAATGTGAATGGGGAACTTGGAGCTGCAGGGGTAGCTTGCAGGGTGAAGCAAGGTTCTTTCTAAGTGCAAGTAACAAAAATTTCCTCGGGTTCCTTTAGATCAGTGGTTCTCAACCTGTGGGTCATGACCCACAGGAACTGTATTAAATGGTCCGCGGCATTAGGAAGGTTGAGAACCACTGTGTTAGGCAGAAAAGAAATTTATTGGAAAAACAATGAGTAACCTCACAGATTCAATGCAAGGACTGGAAAATCTAGGCTCTAAAATCCGGCTGGCATCGACATAAGGTAGGCAGCCAGAAATGCAGCTAAAAACACTCAAAGAAAGTCTGGTGGAAACACCACAACCAGTGCAAAACAAGGGCACCACCACTATTACCACTGTTACCACCACCCTGACCTTGATCCCCTGTGTCCCTCACTCAGATGCCAAGTCCAATTGTCACGTTCCTGTGCTCTAGTCGCCAAGGAGCAGAGAAGATGAATATCTGAACTTTTCAGTTTCTAAGGTGTGAGATAGGTCCTGTTCCCCACCAAGACTCTATGGAATTTCCCAAATACAGGGGGAAAGTTCAGCTGTTAGATAAACTGCCCCCACAAATATGAAATATGAAATATCCACTTCATGAGACATAAGGCTAGACAGGTAAGACTGAAGAGTCTTTCAGTCAGGTTAGGAGCTGGGACTTCATCCATATTGAAAGAGTTGAAGGGAGA